AACCCCGAAGCCCCAAACCCGAAACCCTTAACCTTCAAACGCTTGAGCCCTGAACCCCTAAACCCCAAAGCCCTAAACCCTAAAGCCCTAAACCCCTAGACCCTAAACCCCTAAACCCCAAACCCCGTAAACCCCCTAAACCCTAAACCCCATAATATAGTCCCTCCGGAGATGAGAATCTAAGGTTGAAACCATGGGCCCCCAGTATGGGCCCTTCACCCTGGGATCTTTATACACCTACTATGTACCCTATATTACCTGTAAGGGTCCCTAGAAAGGCCTAAGGGTCCATATTAGCTGCCCATACTTCTAACCTTAGAGAAACAATCACCCTAAACCCCTAAACCCTAAACCCCCTAAATGTAGTCTGTCCAGAGATGGAAGAAATCACCCAAAAACTCTAAACCCCCAGAATATAGTCATAAAGCCCCTATATAACCCCACGAGTCCCTTTAAGGGTCTCTCCTATAGTCCCTTGAGAAGCTGCAACTCAGCGAACCCTAAATCCTACCCTTCTTTTTTTGTTAGGGTCCCTATAAATCTCATATTAGGGCTTATAATAAGAACCTACCAAAAGGATGGTTTGAAAAATCACCCAAAACTCGACTCGAAGGACCACACGGAGCCTCTACCGCTCGACCTTCTACTTGGAACCGAGGCTCCATGTTTCTGGGCCTTTGCTTTAAAGGGGATATAGTTCATCATTAAGTTAGTGATAGTGGGTTTAGGTTTCTAGGTTTTAGGGTTAAGGGATATAGTTCATACTTTAAGTTGCTTTATAGTGGGTTTAGGGATTTGGGGTTTAGGGCTTTAGGGCTTTAGGGGTTTAGGGGTTAGGGTTTAAGGGGATTTATTTAAGTTACCATAATGGGGATCTATAGTACATAGCAGGGCTTTCTAATTATAGTAACTCAATTAAGCCCTCTAACAAGACCCCAGGTTTTCATCCAGCGTGACATGCTGGACCTGTCATCTTCTTTCGAAGATGCTTTGAGCAATGTCACTAGAGCGCTCCCATCGCATGGCACTGCAGGGGCAGACGCTTCTGTACTCGCCTGGCAGCTCTTTGATCGTTTCGGAGATCATCTGTGCCCGCAAGTTTTGCTAGGAGGATGGTGGCGCATCACGGCCAGCTATCAGAGCACTAAGTTCCAATCCCGTATTGACGTCAGCAACATCGCCTCAGAGGCTATTGAGCAAAGCCATTCCCAAGCTCAGCAGAGTTCAGTGTCTGCAGGAGGAGGAGGGGGTGGAACAGGTTTTTCAGTCGACGTACATGCATCATCATCCTGGGGAGCATCGTCAGGCGATCACAGCAAAAAGAGCTCTTCTACAGGCCTTCGCCACGTGAATCAGACTGCGCTCGAGGACTCACAGGCAAGAAAGTTTCCTGTCAACAACGGTTGCGATATGGTTTCGTCCCTTTGCTTGCATGTAGCGATTGACATTGGCAAGACTTGGGTGTTGAAGCCAATTACACTCGTCGACTCTATCCGGTTCTATCCATGCTTGCTTTAAGGTATGTCCAGGTCGTCAACAAAGACTGAACTGAAATCCATGTGCACGTGGCAACAAGTCCGTGACTTCAGTTGGGGATTGGCCCAGAAGCTTGATTGAAAAACGGAACGTCCCACATTGTAGCAGCATGATGATGATATAAATCCTGCATTACCCATAGTAAGGAATATACCATACTTCCCATAGTTTAGGGTCCCTACAAGGTAATGCAGGATATATATATATATATATACATATTATATATATATATATATACACATATTATATATATATTATAATATATATATATATATCATCAACAGTTACAATCTTCCTTAGACTTCCGGGCGCTTCAGCGCCCTGGTTCAGGTGGCGGTCGCGCATACGTGGAAGGCTGGGATCTTGTTAGGGCACTTAAGTTAAGTTACCATACTAAAGAAACCCTATGAATTACTATAGATCCCTGTTATGGTAACTTAAATTACTAAGGAAGCCCTATGAACTACTATAGATCCCTGTCATGGTAACTTAAAATTAAATCCCTTAACAAGGGCCATAAACCCCTAAACCCCTAAACCCCTAAACCCTAAATCCCTAAACCGAGAACCCAGAAGGGTGGCTCCTCTCGGATCCTTAAGGGAGGGTATGGGGTTATATACCCCTCTTAGAACCCCCTCCCTTAAGGATCCCATAATGAAAGGGTGGCTCCTCTGGATGTTCACCTGCCAACTGGCGCCGAAGCCTGGACGAGTCGACGAACTCGAACTGGAAGGCTTAGGGTTTAGGGTTCCAAAGAAGGGGATTTAGGGTTCCTCTAAAGGGATCTATAAGGGTTTATAGGGTTTATAGGGTTTAGGGCTTAGGATTTTAGGTTTTAGGGCTTAGGGTTTAGGGTTTAGGGATGTGTGGGGAAACCGTCGGTTCGACGTTCGATTTGGGTGGTGGGGTGGACCTAGTCGCAAGACTTGAGTGGCCATTCCTGTGCAAGAAAGCTTTGGCATGTTTCTGTTGGCTGTGTGCAACTCATCTGACGAACAGGTGATTGACCGCCACGTGGATCATTGCTTTCCTATTTGGGAGTGGGGTGGGATCCACCCGGAAGTGAAGGATCTGTTGAAATCCCAGTACGAGCCGTGGGCACAGCAGTTCAACACCACGACAACTTCAACATCCACCTCTAGGCTCCCTTCTACGACTCCAAGACCGACGCTGCACAAGAAGCTGAAAGAGGAAAGAGATGTCCATTGGCCACCTGATCAAACAACTGTGATGTTGCACTGTGATCCCGGCTGGCAAGTAGCTGCTTGCAATATGGAGATGTTTTACGCGAGGAAGAATCTTATGGAGGTGTTTCCTTCAGCTGGGTCCTGCGTGATTCGGTGCAAACAGTCGGACCGAACCCATTGCGCACGGCTCTTGCCTCAAACACCACTACAGTTGTATTGCTGGCCTTTGACAGACTATCCAGTCAAAAGCAGTCGCGACATGATCTATGTCGATACTCTTTTCACCAAAGACTCCTTCAACTTCTGCGGAGGGTGGAGGGTTGTGGACTGTTTTTTTGAGAACGGCAACGTTCTGTATGCCCAGGCCAAAGACGGCATGTGTGTTGTCGAGGCCGTTTGGGTAACGAAGGTTTGGGGCGAATATTTGACCACGATCTGCGAACAGGCCGGATAGCCTTCAAAGTTCTGCTCGTTCTGCCCCGGTCACCCAAGATGCTGGACATTTTCTGCATGGCATGGACCCAAGAGCCGCATTGGTGTGGCCGCGCGGAGATGGGACTTCGCTTCCGACGCTTCCATGCGCGACTGCTTGAAGAAGCAAAACCCAGAAACTCCAGAACCCCTTACTTAAGGAATATACCTTAAATTATACTAGGAGGCCTAACAAGATTTAAGGTATATTCCTTAATTAAGGGGTGTTGGAGTCTCTGGGAAATGCCAGACTGTGGCGTCAGACGCTGGCATAGTCTAGGTTTTCTGCCATGTGCAAGGGCCCGCTCACTCTGCTCACATTGTTAGTGCAGCTCTTGTTTTGTGTGTGAGTGACAAGTTTGTCATTGATGCAAGCAGCACTTCTGTGTTTGATGTTAAACCCTCCAAACCCTGAACCCTAAAACCCTGAAACCCTCTAAACCCTAAACCCTGAACGCCTGCTGCGTAATTAGCAACGTTGCCTGGGGTTCGGAAACTCTTGGCGGGAGAGGCCATACTTCCGACGGCCCTCCGAACCCGGTGACGCGCAAGTGGCCCTCAAGCTCTTTCAGAACCCGGTTTTTAGGGTTTAGGGCTCCTTTAAAGGGAGCTATAAGGGATCTTAAGGGCTTTAAGAGGAGTCTTAGGGGTTTAGGGGGTTAGGGGTTTAGGGTTTAGGGGTTTAGGGGTTTAGGGGTTTATGGTCTAGGGTTCAGGGCCTAAGCCCGAAACCATAAACCCCTCAACTCCTAAACCCTAGGTACAGTTTAGGGCTCTAGTCTAAACTGCAGCTTCACGGCCGCCCCTTGGCAGGTCAACTCTTCGCTGCGATGTTTGGGCACTTCAACCGCCTGCCCTGGGTCCAGGCCAGCCGAACCCAGAGAGCTCAATACCCCTTAAATAAGGAATAGTACCTTAAACTACAGGGGCCTTAAGAATATGATTTAAGGTAGATTCCTTATTAAGGAATATACCTTAAATTATAGGGGCCAGATAGGATTTAAGGTAGAGTCCTTAATTGATGGTTATTGGGTTCTCCGGGGTCCGCCGAAGCAGACAGGCGCTGCGGGCCGCAAGGGTCTAGTCAAGATGCTCCCGGCACATCTAAGAGGACTTTCCGAAGATTAGGGGTACCTTTGTTTGGGGGGTCCCTTAGCATAAGGATCCTACTATGTAGGGTGCTCTAGTTTAGGATTTATGGGAGCTTCCGAAAATAGGGGGGTACCCTATATTGGGGTCCTTATAATAAGGATCCGACTATTTAGGGTTTCTGTATTGGGGTCCCCTATTTTCGGAAACCCCCCATCTGCAGATAGAACGCAGACACCCTATGCCAAAATGTGTCCAGAGAGGGGTGAGGTTCTGGGTCCATGCTAAACCTTATACCCTAAACCCTAATACCTTAAACCCTAAACCTTAAACCCTAAACCTTAAACCCTAAACCCTAATACCTTAAACCCTAAACCCTAAACCTTAAACCCTAAACCTTAAACCCTAAACCCTAAACCTTAAACCCTAAACCCTAATACTTAAACCCTAAACCCTAAACCCCAAAACCCTAAAACCCTAAACCCTAAACACCCTAAACCCTATGCAACACTGGCGTCCTGTTTGCCAGGGTGCCGCAGTTCCTGTGGAAGTGGATGCCAGGGCCTTAGGAGAGGCTGGAGTCGGCTCACTGACCTGCAACATTTAGGGTTTAGGGTTCCTTTAAAGGGATCTATAAGGGATCTGTAAGGGTTTATAGGGTTTTAGGGTTTTAGGGTTTAGGGTTTTAGGGTTTAGGGTTTAGGGCTTTAGGGTTTTAGGGTTTAGGATTTTAGGGTTTTAGGGTTTTAGGGTTTAGGGAATTTAAATGGGAGCTGCCGAAAATAGGGGGTACCCTATATTGGGGTCCTTACAATAAGGATCCGACTATTTAGGGTTTCTGTATT